TGCTGTGAGCTGTGGAATAAAACAGCTGTGTCCCTTGGCTGCATGGCTCTTCCAGGGGTGCCAGATGTTTTGCTTAGGACACGTCAGAAGAGCCTTGAGTTCAGACTTTTTTTCTTCTCAGGCTGCTTGCAGGACCTTCAGTGGGGTTTTGGGGTTTTTTTTAGTATTTTTTCTCCACCAGATTTTCACAGGAAAGCAATAGGGATTGGGAACAAATTGAGAAAGGTCTGGTTTCACCCCAGCCCCTCTTTGTATAAATAATCTGCAAGGGAAAAGCTGCAATGATGAGTAAAACACTTGTGCTGCCTTTTCACAGGAATTAAGGATCTGGATGTAACCCACTGTGTCCACGTGCTCTGCTGAAGAGACCATCCTGGCACATTTTGGGGGTCAGACCCCACAAATGCCTGAATTCCCACAATATGGGGATTTCAGCTGCCAAACCAGCCGTGGGGTGTTGTGGAAACAGCACAAGCAAGGTCCAGGACTGGACCCCAGCATCCCAACCACTAAACCAGGGTGCATGAGGCCACAGGGTCAGGAAGTTGTGAAATACCCAGGACACCATCTCTGGGAGGTGAAGCTGTCACCATCCTGGTGGGCAAGGCAGTTTTGGGAATGTCCCCAGGGCAGGGCTGATACAGCCAGTGCAGGCTGCTGGGTCACAGAGGCACAGAAGGGCCACAGCATTCGGGTATTTTGTGGCCACTTTGAAGGTTTTACTGTAGGGCCATGCGTTGCTCACTGAAAAAAAGATTTTTTTCAGAGAAAGGGGGAGGAGCAGGGAGGAAAAATTTGGTGAAGGAGGAGGGGTGGCTTCCATGGCTCCGAGCGCCTGCGGAGTGCGCGGCAGCCAGGAAGGAGGACCCTGCCCTGCAAACAAGCTGCTTTTGTTGTGTCCCAGCCAGGCCTAAATTAAGTTTGACAGAAAGAGGGCATATTCCCCCACGCTGGGGCAAGCCCTGGGCTCGGGGAGGGCTGGGCCACCCTGCGGAGGGAGCCTCGGCCGTGCCAAACCTCGCCCCGGTGTGAGGCGCGAACCTGCACGAGGCCGGAGGGGCCGCAGGGCCCGGGAACATCCCGAGCCCTCACAGGGCTCCCTCCAGGAGAGGCTGAGAACACCCTGAGCCTTCACAGAGGCTGGGAACACCCTGAGCCTTCACAGGGCTTTTTCCAGCAGAGGCTGAGAACATCCTGAGCCTTCACAGAGGCTGGGAACACCCCGAGCCTTCTCGGAGCTTCCTCCACCCCAAGCCTTCTCAGGGCTTCCTCCAACACAGGCTGGGAACATCCCAAGCCTTTGCACGGCTTTCTCCACCCCGAGCCTTCACAAGGCTTCTTCCAGCAGAGGCTGAAAACACCCTGAGCCTTCACAGGGTTCCGTCCAGCAGAGGCTGGGAACACCCTGAGCCTTCACACGGCTTCCTCCACCCCGGGCCTTCTCAGGGCCTCCACCAGCAGCACCCGGCCCAGCCCCGAGGCCGCCATGGCTCCAGGAAAAGCCGCCTCCATAGTGCCCTGTCCCGCCCCGCTGCTGGGCATCTCCCGGCCCCGCGCCCGCCCGGGCACGCCGTGCCAGCGTGGGGAACCAGCCAGCTTCTAAACAGTTAATGCTGACAAAACCAGGCGGCTTGAGTTCCCTCCTTCCCAGACCGCTCCTGGTGGAACTCACCCCCTTCGAATGAAATGAAATCAAATGATCATCCTGCTCTGACCTCACCCCGCTGTCCTCCCCGCTGTCCTCCTGTCCTCCCTGTCCGTGCATCCGCTCTTGCCGTGCCCCCACCCAGAGCTAGCGCTGCCGGGAGTGCCCGTGCCCAGCGTCTCCCACCACGTTTGCTCCGGCTGCCATGTTGAATTGCAAATCCGACATGATTCGACACATTCTCCCCCTCGGTGGTGCCCGCTGGGGAACTAAAGAGGCACCCGGGCGACGACGCCCAGCTCCGGGTGGCTCTTGGGGACGTCCCGGGTGCTGGGGTGCGGGCAGGGAGAGAAATCACCCTCCAGTTCTGCTCCAAATGCTGCACGTAGGGACCTGCCTATCTGCTATGCTATACATCCCTCTCTAGGAGACCGATTAAAGTCGGGTGTTTTAGCACCAAGGGCCAGAGGACTCGGCGGGAAGGGATTTTGGGGAGAAGGCAGGTTACAGCAACAACAAAGCAACTGGAGGAACAAAACGTTATTTCAAATCAAAGGCAAAAAAAAAACCCCAACCGCACGGACAAAAAAAAAAAAAAAAAAAAAAAAGCAACCAAAATTAAGAGTGAGGTTCGATTTCGTACCAAGGCAGCAAGAGAGACGCACCGTGGAAGAGAGTGGTTTTGTTGTTGAGTAGTGGCTGGATTTAGCTCCGCTTATCCGGACAATCATCGGGGAAGGATCCTTTTCCGAGAAAGGCCAGTTTGAGTGAGACAGCTTTTTTTTTTCCCTTCTCTCTGCTCGCTCTCTCCCCTTTCCTTCTCCTCGCAGCTCAATGCCAAGAAATGGGCGGTGCCTGGATGCCAGGCTCCATCCGAACGAGACACCCAAGGCCAAGGGAGGCTGGCACAAAGGCGAGCTGGCAGGAATTCCTGCACTGGGAGCCGCGCGCCTGCGGGACGAGCCCGTCACCTCCCAAAAAATCAACCTCCGACACCGCCCGCTCCGGAAAGTTGCCCCGTCAGGCTCGAAAACGCCCCATGAGGCTCAAGCACATGGCGAAAAAAAAGACAAGGGCAGGGAAAAAACCCCCAAGACCCCTCTTTGCATCGACACAGGTTAAACAAAAGGCCTGGGGAGGTGGATTAGTTTTTTTCCGCCCTCCCCATGCTCCTTTTCCCGCCTTCCCATCCCTCTCCGCCCGCCTCTTGTCCTCCATCGTTGTCTCCCTCGCACGCCTTCCCTGCGTCCAGGCAGAAATGAGCCCTTGGCTCCCTCCTTCCTGGTTTTAGCACGACAGGAGGTGGTGGGTCCTTGAATAGGAACACACACACCCAACGCGAGAGAGGGACTCGATGGGGGCAGAAAAAAAAGAGGACAAAATATATATATGTACATACAAACAACAACCCACCCGCCATGGAGGACGGTTGGGAGCAGTTGTTGCCCAGGGTGGCAGATTGGGGGTGGTTTGGGTGCCAGGGGGTATTTTTGGCCTTATTTTGTTGCTGCCCAAGCACCTGGGTCGTGCCGATTGTAAAAGGGAGTCACGGCGGGTTGGGAAAGGGAGCGGAGGGGGGGCAGCTGGGGTTGGTAGCTCTGCTGGGGAGATGCCAAAAAACCAAAACAAAACACGTTTTCATTTTGTCTGCACCAGCCTGGGCGCAGGCGAGCGCAGGAGAGAGGGAGGGAGAGGGAGGCGCACGCCAACAGAAAGCTGCCGTGCTCAGACGCGGGCCTGCGGCCACGTCCCTCCACAGCCGCCCCAGCAGCCGTTCCCGCTCCCTCGTCCCCCTCTCCCTGCCCACCCGGCTTCGCCTGCCAAGTCCGAGTTGGCACGGCTCCCCCGGCTGCGCCGAACAAAGCCGTCACCCATCCCCGAGCCGGAGCTGACAGTAAGCAAAGTGACAGGCGCATCTTCCGCATGTTAATCCAAACGGCAAGAAGGCGAGCGAGCTGCGGAGGCCCCCCCCGTGCCATGCACACACATCCCCCCGCCACCGAGCCACCCACCCCACCCTTGGCACCCGACAGCCCCGGTGGCCTCGTGCGGGGATGGCGAGGCCCCCGCCGGCGGGAGCACCGAAGGCTCCTCGTCGGCGAGGCTTAAATCGAGCCGAAGCCCCGCTCGGCGGGCAAACGAGGCCACTCGGCATCTGCTGTACCTGTTCCCGCTGCCTTCATCTCGCCTTGGAACCGTGACAAGAGCGCACTCGCCTCTGGTGGGCTCTCAAAGCCGCGGGTCTGTAACCCTTTGCAGGAAGTTGGCACCGATCCCAGGTAGGACTTTACTCCCCGGCTCTCGCTCTCTCCCCCCACCTCCGCCTCCTGCTCCCTCCCCTCTGCTCCCCCACCCATCCTGTCCCTTGGGCCCCTCTTGCGTCCCCCAAAACACCACCCGGCCCCCGTTCCCCCTGCGCTGCTCACCCGCCTCGTTGGCCGGGGGTAGCGTGGGGGGCGGCCGACGGCTGCTGGGCGCCCACCGAGCCCTCGTGCCCACCGCCCTTGCTCACATACCCTGGAAGGATGACCTGGGCAAGACAGAGAACAACAACTTCCTGCTCTGGCTCCCTAAAACGCCTGTTTCCACGCAGGGGTTAGGCAGCGCGGCGAGACGGGGGGAGCTGGGAGGAGGTTTGGGGGTTTGTCGTCATTGAACCAGGCTTTTTTTCTTTTCCTCTTTTTTTTTTTTTTGGCTTTTTTCTGCTTTTTCCCCCCCTTTTTTTTAGTCTTTTTCCTATTTTTTCCTGCCTTTTTTCCTTTTTTTTATGCTTTTTTTTTTTTCAAACATATATTTTTGCCCTGCAGTCCAAACCCAACGTGAAGGGAAAGGAAGGGAAGAGAAATCAAATAGGAAGAGAATAGCTCCAAGTCGGCAGGACAATGCACGGGAAACGGGGAGATTAGCGTAGCTCTCAAAATCCATCACGCCCGCCCCGTTTCTGAACCATTCGCCCCCGCGCCTCGTCTTTTTTAATTCTCCCAGCTCCTGAATTATTCCAGTCCACGAGCGGGAGGGGAGCGAACAGTCCGGAGTCCCTCAGAGCTGCCAAGAGCATTGCAACAGGAAAGAAAGGAAGCGGGAGAGGGAGAGCCAGGCAGAGCCCTCACAATCGAGCAGCGAGAAGAGCAAGGAAAAATTAACATCCAATTAGTGCCGTGTTTAACGAGGGAGACAGAGGCGGCTGTTGTTTTATTGCCCTGTTCTTTTCAGGCGCATCTGACAGGCAGCAGGGAAGGCACCCCTGCTCTGAGTGACGTCATCATATTTTATTTTTTAATTATTTCCCCCCCCCTTATTTGGTATTGTTATACCACATTTTATTGCCAATGGGTTGTTCCTTCCCCCCCCCCCCCCCCCCCCCCCCCCGTCTTTCCTCCTCTAAGTTTTGCACAGATGATCTCGGCAACTCGGCCAGAGAAATTTGGGACTTTCTCACATTCAAGCCACCGTCTGCCCCCCTCCACCTCCAGCCTCCCACCATCCACCGACAGCAATCCCGGAAAAACAACAGCGCCAACCCACCCCAAAGTCTTTGTTCTTCCAAAAACAAAAGGAAAAAAAAGGAGGGAAGAAAAAAAAATCAGCGTTGGGATGAGAGCTGGAGGAGGTTTCTCCGCGTGCGCGTCCGAGTGTGTGCGTGCGGCGGTCGGTCCCTCTCCCGTCCCTCTCCCCAGACGCTCGCTCGCCTTGTAAAACTTTGCTGCATGTGACGCTGCTCCGGCCTCCTCTGGCAGCCTGACAAGAGCCGCCCGGCCGCAGAGCGCAGGCGGCTTTTCAGGGAGGGAGAAACTCCATTCTGAGGGATGGGAGCGTTCACATGTCTGCAGCGAGGGGCAGCGCCTCGAGCCAGGGCCGCAGCCACGGCAGTGCCCACCCTCGCCATGCCAGCCCGGCCTGGGGTCACAGCAGGGGGAGAGGGGACAAGTTTAAAGCTGGGGAGTCTCTTCCCCTCCTGTTTTTCCCTGGGATGGGGGCACAGCACGTTGTAAGTGCCAAGGGAGGTGTGCAGGGGTCACGGTGGCTGCAGGGAAAGGAGTCTGACCTTGTGCTGACCTTGTGCTGCCACCTCTTCCCCAAAAGACCCAGATCCCCTCAGGGTGGGATGAAACATCACCAGCTCCCCCTGAGAGCACTGTCCAGGAAGGAACAGAGCAGCTCAGCTTAGGGGGATTTGAGGGAGTTTACCCTAAAAAAATCCTGTAGCAGGCAAGCAGGAGCATGGAAAGCAGCTTCCCCACCTCCTTCCCCTCCTCTTACCAGCCATGAGTGATGGACGGGGCTGTCCCTGTCAGCGTGGCTGTGCCGAGCTTTGCTCCTGTGCTCTTTGTGGCCTCTTCTCCTTTTCCCAGACGGGATTTCCCTTATCCAGGAGGGAACCCACGAGGACTTGGCTCCTCTGTAATCCCCTATTTTGAATGAAGGCCATCCCAGGGGATGGGGCTGTGTGAAGACAGGGACAGAGACAGGTCCAGGGCCACCACACTGCTGGTCCTGGGTCCAGTCCAAGTCCCCACCCTGAGCATTTCCTGGCACCAGCCAGCCCCACCACCCCGGCAGCAGGATCTCCTCTGTGAGGGTTATTATTTTTTTACATATATATATATTTTTTTTTTTTAAGGAATTATTTGCCTACGTGGAGCTCGGCGCTGCGGGAGAACAGAGCAAACAGCGTTATCGAGGGCAGCTGTGCCACAGGGCACTTCCTCATGCGTGGCTGCAAGATGGGGCCCTCCATGGCTGCAGGGGAGGGAAGGCTGGCAGCCCTGCCCTTCCCACTGACCAGACACCAGGGAAACACCAGGCACCATCCAGGCATCGGGAGGGCTCTCTGGAATGTTCCCTCCCGGCTCCACGGCAGGAGAGCGGCGCGGCCAGGAGGGGTTTGGACTCAACTGAAGGGTCTCCAGCAGGACAGCTCTGCAGGGGAAAGGAGAGGATGGAACATTGGCTCTGAGCTCAGCTGCACTTCCCTGGGCACAAAGGCTCATCTTGCTGCTTTCCAGATCCTGCCAGACTCGAGCATCCATGCCCAGCGGAGACACAGACCAGCCTTGACCTGAGATTCCCTCTCCTGGCTGCTGTCGCTGCCTCCCTTCTCCCCCGGGCAGCTGGGAGCAGATGAGGCCAAAGTCCCAGCAATCTCAGCTCTGCACTGGAGGCTGATAAACGGTGTGGGCACAGAACAGCAGCAATCCCCACCCAGCCTGGCTTTGTGCAGGAGGGAGAGTCAATATTTAAACCAGAGGCTGTTTCCTGGGCAGACAGGAGGACAAACCCCCGGCTCCATCCTGGGCGCCAGACCCAAACCACCTCCTCCACCCCTTCATTTGTTCTCCCCACCACATGTTCCACCCTGGATCCCCTCTCCTGTGGGAATGGGGCCCCATTCCCTTCACCTGAGCACCAGCTGCAGGGCTGGGCACTGACTAATGGCAGCAATTTAAGGGACAGGGATGCCCAGCCTGGTTTTGGGTTGTCTCCCTGCCTGCTCCTGGTGCAGACATTTGTCCCTGTTGTCCCTCAAATGAAATTTGTCCTAGGGCCCCTCAACTGAAGGATAGGACAAGAAGAATCAGGGACAGAAAGAGGAGGTGAGGAAATATTCAATCATCCTAAGAATGGCAGCCCCTTGCTTCAAAGTAAGGCAGTGCAGTGAAAGCTTTGAAACCTGGTTTTCATTTAAATTGAGCAAAAACTACAGTCAACTGTTGGGGTTTCAGCCAAGTTTGTGGGCCCTGATGAACTGGGCAGAAATTCCTGGCTGGATGCATCCACTGGTGCAGCTTTAGGTAAATCCCTTAGGTAAATTCCTTAGGTAAACTCCTCAAAGGACAGGAAATAGCACTTTTTCCTGCAGGGGCTGCAGTCAGGCTGTGCAGAGGCTGCAGGAGGTTTGACAGGCAGGTGAGCTGCAGAAGGTGGCTTTAATTTGGAGGGCAAAGGTTCCTGAGCAGGTGCTGAGTGACCTGGCAGGTGCAATGCCCTGTGTGGGAGCAGGTCATAAAAAACAAGGTGATTAAAGGGAAGGATGGAGCTGTGAGGGGGAAGATGGAATGGCTGAGGCCACCTCACCAGTCAAAGCAGCAAAGGGTCTCCATCACCACTTTCCAGAAGACCTCAGGGTCAATTTTAACTCCAAAAACCTAATTTCAAATATATTGCTCCAAGCACCCAAGCCCTCTACTGCCTCCACCCTCATTCCAGGTGCACCCACTGCAGTTTGCTCAGCCTAAATATGCCCACCTTCTGTGGAGGTGAAGAAAATCAGGGAGAATCTGAGTTTTAAACAGCTGTTTTACCCCCTGATTTGTAGAAGAGACCAAAGGAAGTACCTGTCTTAAAGTGAAACCTTCCTTGAGGGAGCACATTATACAGGGGAAAAAAAAACAAAACAAAAAAAAAATCACAGAAAAACCCCCAAAAAACCAAACTACCCAATAATTGTTTTATAACTGTATTTTGGAGCATAATTAAATCCTCTTTGAAATCATCTCTGGTGTTAGGGAACAGGTCCATGCATTATTTAACTGTAACACAAACTGGGAGTGAGGGAGGACAGACAGGATGGACTTCACGACACAGAGGGGAGCTGGGTGGGGGCTGCCACTCCCTGCACACACCAGCA